TGCAGCACCTCACAGAGAGGATGTGGGATACAGCACACGAGGCTACGCAGGAACCGGAACTCAAAAGGCATCAAGCAACAGGCTGTAATTAGATGTGATCACCAAAAGGGGTTTTTGTGCCGCTCTGCACTGGAAGATGCCGTTTAAGGCAAACTGGATATCCTCGCAAGCTGGATCCAGGGCTGGAAATTTCATTTCAAGGGGGGAAAAAAAAAAAAAAAAAGAGGAGGAGAGAAAGAATCAATACCCAGAGGAGCAAGGAGTAGGGATTGACGCTCAGGCGGACGTGGTCGCCGACACGATGCCCAGCAGTGCTGTCCCTGCAGCAGCACTTCCCGGGATCTCACAAAGCGTAATCGAGCGGTATCCTGCCCAGCTCAGCGCAGAACACCGCTCCCAGCTGCTGCTAAATGGAACGAGCCTGATTTCACCTCCATCTCCTTCCCTCCGAGGGTTCATTCCTGGGGGGCCATCACAACTGCCCTCGGTACCAGCTGAAGCCAAAAACCTGCCAGGTGACCCCATGACCTGATGCTAATCGGGAACACTGATGTGCCTGCAACCACAAAGCCACAAACGAGCAGCCCATGATGAGACAGATAATCTCACCTCACCTTGCAAGCGCCATGAGCTTTGTCATCTCCCAGACATAAATTTTGTTTTAATCCCTAAAAGAAGCCGTCAGGATTAAACTGAGAAGTCCTGACAAGGATCTGTTGAGTGAGGGACTTGGTATTCAAATGAATCATCAGGGAAAACATTTTCCCTGGAAAAGGTGTTTCGGTAAGATGGACATTCCATGTGAAAGTATGCTGTTCTGGGTAAAATGTTGAAGCTACACTTGAAGAAAAGGTTAACCCTACTGGAACAGGTCATCTTCCTTCTGATGTCCTTCTTAAGGCAGAAACTACTCCCTCACCAGACATGTTTCTTGTTGAAGCAGGTCTGTTACAGACCCAAGCTTTCTTTCACTTCACTTGGCAGGGAAATTCCCAGCTCATCTTCCAACATGAGGCAGAACCAGACTGTGAAACAGCAGCTTTCCCACAAAATGGAAATTCTCAATTTTTGGCCAGAGAAGACCATCCCCATTCCTGAGAACACTGCAATGTAAGAGACAAAAAGAGCCAGGAACCAGTGCTCTTCTGGCCTGATTTTTCACATGAGAAACTGAGCTAAAGCAGGAAAATGCTTCCAAGAAAGCCATGTCCAACATTGATTAACACCTAGCTCCAAACAGGTATTTAAGGGTGTGCCACCTTCGCAGCCTAGAATTCATTAAAAGACAGTGGTTTTTGGTGTCTCCAGCACCCGCTTTTAAAGGGTTTTCAAGAAGCAGGAGTGCAGTGGTCAAAGATGGACTTAGGCACTTTTGAGATCCAACTTGGCGTCTAGAGGTTTGGAAGGTCTTTGTTGTTGTCAGACCAGACGATGGAATAACCTCAGGACTCGTGGCCCCCATACCCCGGGGCGTCAAAACCAGAACTGTCCCTAAAACACTCAAAGCACCAGAAGCTTCTGTGATGTGCTCACGTGGTCAAAGGCAGACCACAAGCACCTCTCATCACAACCAGCTTGAGGTGAGTTTCCAACCTCCTACCCTTAGCCAGTTCAGACTCTTTATTTATGATTTTAAACACTCCCCCACAAAAACAAAAGAAGAAAAGGCTTTGAGCAACCTGGTGTAGTGGAGGGTGTCCCTGCCCATGGCAGGGGGGTTGGAACTAGATGATCTTTGAGGTCCCTTCCAACCCAAACCAGTCTGGGATTCTATGATTCTAAAACCAATCACAATTCCTTCCTGCAGATTTTGGCTGGAAACCAGCCAGGGCGTGAGCCGAGGTTCCGTGTGCCGAGCACGAGCACAGCCGCCGTGCTCGGAGCCTGCTGCAGCCCAGCACCTGCGATCGCTTTCTTCACCATTTAAGGATTTGGAAAGCAGCCGCTCGGGGCCCAGCGAATTACCTGGGAGTGATTTGTTTTTGCTGTGAATGCCTATGCCCTCACCACACAAACAAGCTCCTGAAGAAAGGAGGGTGCAGAGAGAGGAGGAGGGAAAAAAAAAAAATGCCAACAGGTTGATCTGGATTACATCAACGGTTACACCCTCCTCCGTTTAATGAACATAGGAGAACAGGTGCTTGTAATTCATCAGCCAGCCCACGAGCTGAGGAGACAGGAATTACGCCGACCAAACTTCTCGGTGTGCCACTACTCTCCTTCCCTTTGAGGCAGCAGCAGCGAGAAAACTTCATCTCTTTTTCTTCCTCCCCCTTTCCCTCCCCTCGAGCTGCAGAGCCACGAGCTGAGCATGACTAACCCCTGCGCAGCCTTCACCAGTGGCTCCCTCTCCTCTTGGGAGGTGTCAGGGAAGATGAGCAGAGCAGCAGCCGGCACGGCCCCGGATTATCCGGGCTGCAGCAGCCCCAACGGAGTGGCCGGCAGTGACTCCAGCTCGCTCAGCCTCCATGGAGACAGCAGGTACCGCTGCTCCTCTTACCCCTCCTTCTCCATCGATGGGACGCTCCTGGCCCCTGTGCACCTCGACATCGACCCTGACTTCCAAGCCATGCGGCAGCAGGAAAAAGAGGACATCAAGATGCTCAACAACCAGTTTGTGACCCTAATTGAGAAGGTAAGGCGAGCTGCTGAGGACCACTGCGCCGCACGGGGATGAGGACGGTGGTGGGGAAGCAGACACTAACCAGGCTTTCAGGAAACCTATGAAGGCCTTCAGGTCACCCTTGCCAGGCTCTGAATATTAGGCTAATTACCCAATTAGTTATCCCTTCAGTGCTATCTGTTTTAACAAGGGCCAGCATCATCTCAAGGTGAAGCTGGGCAGCATCTGTGGTCAGTGGCACCGGGCAGCCTGTGCATCTCCTGCGCTGCACCTGTCATCCCACGGGTCCCCAGGGAGGACAGGCAGCTCTGCCCTCGGGCACCCAGCCCTGGCTGAGCAGCAGCACAGGGCTGGGCAGAGCTGGCCTTGGCTCCCAGAGTGGACAAACAGCCATGAGTGGTGACGCTGATTAAGGCGGCAGCTCAAATTCTTCTCTGACTGCTAAAGAGAGCTGGAAATTCACCTCCATACCGACGTGGTAGGCAAGGGAGACCCCCCCACCCACCTCCCTCCTCTGCGGTTTTCATTGCGAGGGGTTGCGTGCTTAGCCAAGAAAGTGTCGCTTTCATCTCATAAGATCCATGAGAAGGCAGAAGGTTTTCTCAAAGGAAAACAACTCATCCAGCCGAGGCAGGTTTCTGCAAAGCCCTGGTGCTCTGTAAACAGATGGTAATCTTCCAGGAGGATTGCTTCACTGCAGTCTACAATACAGGCACTCAATGCCAAGCTACTATGGCTTGGGATTTATTTCTTTTTGTTTTAACTCTACCTCTAAGAGGACCTGAATTCACACTGGGAAGGAGAAGGGCGGGGGAACCATCTCCCATTGCATCTGTCTAAATGGAACAGTTGTGAACCAACCACACCTACGTGTGCAAACAGGCATGCAGTGGTACCAGGGGCTGACCCTGGGTGGAGGGGCATGGCAGCCTCCATCTCTGTGCTCTTCCAAGCACACATCTTGGCAATGTGAAATTGGAGAACCCCTAGTTTGGAAATCACCCAAGTGGATTCCGTTGCACGTGCTGGAGGACTGGTCCTTTGACTATCCAGACCGAGAGGTCAGGGTTTCTGTGGATGTCAGCCCTGCTCAGAAACCAGACCTCAGCAGAAAGGATGCGGGTAGGGGAGATGGGACGAGACCACGCAGTGACAATACGTACGTGAGCCAGACCACACGCACTAGCCTGTTTTGTGGAAACAGGGATGGAAGAAACGAGAGAGCCTCCAGGCTTCCTGATAAACCCAACCTGGTGGTCTGCTGATAAGTGTGAGTTACAGGGCCTGATGGACAGAAGATACAAACACCCCACCCCAGTTGGGTGGCTCTGACTTCAGTGCTAGCAACTCCTGCATTTACCTTCGAAGGCTGTAGCTTAAAGTGGTGCATCAAGTGGCAAACTTCAGCCATCTGCCTCAGGCCCTCATTCCAGAGGAAAGTAATGACACTTCCTTGCCAAAGAGAACTTGTCTTTTTAATCAGGAGTTCAGATGGTCTCAAGCCTGAGCGGCAAATTCCTCAGATAATTGACCACAGTAACTTTAGGAGTTTGCTGCTGATGGTTTTCCAGCAGGCTGTTCCAGATCTGCCAGTATTTATTTTCCATCCAGATACGTCCAGGTGGAAGACGAGGAATAGCCAAGTGATGGAGCCCCTGTTTGAGGCCCTGCATTTAGCCTGAGCAGCACAGAGGTAGACGCCTCCGAGGACCAAGCCCTGGTCACTTCTGTGTTCAGGCATGATTTTCCAGGGAATGAGGCCCAATCTGGGTGATTCTTCTGCTGCAAAGCTCACGTTAGAAGGAAGACTTTACAAGGAAGAATTTCTGCTTAGAGAGATGCTGCATAAGAAGCCGAGATGTAAGCATACCCAGTGGATGGGTATGGTTTGGGAACAGGAAAGAAACTGAAGAGTTTGGGGGGAGGGAGAAAAAGAGCATCTAAGGATTAGTAGCGAGGTCAGGAACTGAGACCTGATTTGAGGGTCAAAGATGGACTTGGAACAACAGCCAACGCATTCAGTCATTAACCATCCCAGCAGTGCACGGGGAAGCTGCCTTCAAATGAGATGCCATTCCCAAACGGCCAATCCCACGGGTTGATCCCGGCCCCGCTGAGGGATGCTCTGTCACAATCCCTGAGATACCTCGGATGGAGAGAGCAAGAGGCCCAGCTGGATCCTGGTAGCTCCGCAGGCAGCTTACTTGTGCCACCTGCAATGCCTTCTTCTGGGACCCTCTGGTTCTCAGCCTCGCGCGCTGTGCCACACGGGTTTTGTGCCAGGACAAAGCAGCCAGCCAGCAGACTGGACTGCCAAAGTGATGTCTTTGGCCACGTGTTAGGATGTGAGGAAGAAAGGATGAGACCTTTAACAGCAAGACCTGGAAGATCCCAACGCTCGCGCCCTTTCTGCTGAAAACCAACCCAGCACCTGAGCAATCCTGCTTTGCTCGGCTGCCGTCCGCTCCTGCTTCTCTCTCTGTGCAGACAAGAAGCATTTTGGGAAAGATGTTGTCTCTCACCATGTGCACCTGTGCCATGCTCAGCAACTGGGAACTCTCCCTCTTCAATGCACCGACGCTGCTTGGGACCACAGAAAGGTAAAGTCAAAGCTGAAGGCCAAGCAGAAGGTTGAGGCCTGATAGCATCTGCACCCCACTGCTCTCACCACACAGGGCACAGTGTCCTTGTTGAATCATCTCCATCATGGAGCAGAGGACACTTGGAGGCAACTCATGAACCAGCCAAAACGCGACCGAAGGAGTTTGGTTTTATTCACAGAGCAATAGGAGAGAAAGGCAGCAATTAAATAATTAATTGAACTTAGCCAGGAGCTTTGGAGATGAGAACTGTTCAACACTGAGCATTACTGTTAAGATGGTGGGTTTCAGGAAAGAAGGGTGCCAGATTCATCCGGTGGTGGGTTCCTAAAAACACAGTGTATCCTCTCCAGGCAGACAGGCGCACGCACAGACCTCGCGTGGAGTCTGTAATTATTCCACTTATTCTCCAGAGTTCCCACGAGCCTCCTCTACGTTCCTTTGCAACACAAACCAGGACTCTGATTCATTACTCAAACTTCACCATGGTGAAATCCTACAGATTTGAGAGGAGTTATCCTTGTGCCACTCTGAGGTAGTAAATCTGGCTTCCCTGGACATCTGTGCATGACCCGTGGTGGATTTTCAGCCTTTACTTCCGTGTGTTCACAGGCAAAGGGGACTAGCATTGAAGAGTTCTTATTCTGTGGTGACTTAACAAAAGATGCTCATTCATTTTGATGTGAACATGTTCTATCACGAAATTAATTAGTAGGTAATGTGAAAACCTCTAAAAGTCCCCATAACTCTCCATCTTCAGGCCTAATTTTCAGGGGATTTCTTGTTCCTACCTGGAAGTCTCTGCTGATTCCAGCAGCTTCTTGGTCTCTGAAGGTCTCCAGGTCAATGTCTCCTGCCCTGCCAGGAGTAGTCAGCTTTGATTTTGCCGTTGGTGTTACTAATATCTTTGAAACCTCTTCTGTAGGTCCAGTGTTTGGAGCAACAGAACAAGATCCTGACAACAAGGTGGAACTTCCTGAAGGATCAAGACAATTCCCACTCCGAGTCGGACATCAAGGCCATCTATGATCAGTATATGAGCAAAATGAATCAAGAGATGAAGGCCCTCAACTACGAGCAGGAAAATCTCGAGTCGGAGCTGACAAAGGTCCTGAGCACCATGGATAACTTTCGAAGCAAGTAGGTGTCTGGCCTGGGTGGATATTAGAGGGGGGAACGTGTTCTAAAGGTATCGGTGCAGGGTGAGATCGATTCAGCACTGACAGCCTGTTATTCCCAGGAACAAATTCCTAGTTTGGTGTGCACAGAAGCATGTATTTGAGAAGTTAGCATCCTAGCCTCTTTCTGATTACCCAGAGATGAAAGGAAACCCACAAAAAGCGAAATCCCAAGGAGCGCAAAGCATCTGAGAAATGCCCTGGGCCAGAGAACAGCTCTGGAGAACAGTATTATCAGGAATGACAGACACTAAAACAGGGAAATGTTTATTTTCCACACTATTATTCACAAAGCAGAACTTTCTCCCCAAACCGTTTTATGCATCTAGGCTGCTTAATATCAACAAACGTCCCTTCCTTCTCCCTTTCACCCCACAACATTCAGGCAGAATTCTAATTTGACCAAAAAGTCAAGACTCTTCCCCAGAAAACCTCTTGACAGAAAATACTGAGGTAGCTGAAAGTTTAAGGGAGGACCAGCTGCTCCGTGCTTATCCAGGCTTTTGCCAAGAGCTTTCTGATCTTCAGATAAGACTATTTGAGATGTGCCATGGCTCATTCCAGAAGACAATGCTTGTCTTATTATCGGTGTCATTTGCATACCACAGATGAATCCACAATTAGATACTTTCCCTTACAGTTACACCCATCTGCCTACACAAGATCTCTGGAGTCTTCCATGCTGATCCGTAGCAAAGAGCCGGGTATGGGCACTGTCAAAAGAGAACAGTGATGCTGAGGGACTGTCCCTCCGCCAGCAGCGATGGACATCACCATAGTAATAGCCCAAACCTGTTCCTGATGTACGGAGTGATGCATAAGGAACAACAGTGCCTTCTCCAGAGAATTTAGCCCAAGGATCTTAAAGTTCTCTGCAGACTTTGATTAAAGCAGCTACCCAATGTGGCTGCAAATCAGGGGAAGGACCGATATCTCCACTTCACAGACATTAACGGAGACACAGCAGTTAAATGTCTTATCCAAGCCCACAGAGCAAGCGGGTGGCAGAGCAGGAATAGGAACTAGGAGTTTGGTTCTTGACCTTATGCTGAAATCGTTATGCTCAGCATCCTTCCAGAAGTGATGCACTGATACCCAGGTGCCCAGAAATCCCTGAATTCCTCATGGTGGGCATCTGTCTGCTCTTTATTTGCATATTGGTTTCGCTATAAGACTTGAGCTCACTTGCTTTGCTGACAGGTAGCAACCCTGAGCTTGGATCAAAGCCACAACATGGATTGTGCCATCTACTCCCTGCCATAAAAAGATTAAGACTTGTCATTCCTCTCTGGAACACCTGGTCCTCCTTGCATTTCCCTAAGGAAGTAACTGCTCTGTGGCCCTGCAGTTATAAAAGATACTTCTTGGTTTAGTTGCTGACAGTTAGGAAAACCCAGATAGGAAAATCATTGAGCTGGTGGAGAAATGTCAGACCAGTCACCTACACCTGCTCTCACAGTTCGTATTCATAGTTGCACCCAGTAACCGCCTATGCCTGGCACTTCATTTATTTTTCAGCCTCGTTTCTGATATATGTGCTTATGCAAACAGGCTGGCTGTGTGTTTCCCTCTACCTTTTGGTTTTCTTGGACAGTTACTACCCAGTTAGACAACGGGATAGACATGATAGGGGTGCTACATTCCTCAAAATTTAAAAAAGAGACTGATTAGAGGAACAGGACCCACCCCACACCCAAAGGATAAGGGTGCAGCATGTGCACATGCGCAGTATTAGACAGTAGAGAATCCACAATGGGCACCAGCTTACGTCTATCCCAACTATTGGTCTCGAGAAGAGCTCCCACTTTGTGGGACTACACAGCCACTGGAAAACAGCCTTCAGAAAGGATGCTGCTCCTCCAAGTGCTTTTCCTTCATTTGTGGTGTCTTGCCCTCCCGCTTTCTCCCACTCGCGAGCTGCAAGGCACAGGCCCTGCCGGGGGTGACCTAAGCAGCAAATCCCACCCTGCCGTTGGGTGCTGCTAACACCCAACGCCAGTGCAGGTGGATTTCTGCGACAGTGACAACCCACCGTGCTGCTCCCAGCGGTTAGTGATTCACAGGGAGAGAACTGCTGCTTCTGCTGAGCCTTCTCCAGGCAGCGATCCAACCCCATCCTAACCCACGCCGGCTCTGTTGAGTCCTGCACGCCGCCTTCAAGAAGGCTGCCTCAGCCCAGTTGTTTTTCTGGAGCAAATGGTCTGCCTAAACCATGCAAATTTTGGAGGCTTCCAACTCCTCTGGAGGTTTCTTTTCCCAAGGGAAATTTTTTGGGGGAGGAAAAGCTAATAACTTCACCAGCAAATTTGGGTGAGCGCAGCTCATCCAAGCTGCAGCACTCCCGACGAAACACGCCGTGCACGCGGCGATCACCCGAGCAGGCTGCTGCCCAACACATCACTGAGGATGTGAAATCTGCCTGTCAGTGCCCCTCTGTAAGGCTCCAATTCATCTGTTTTCTCCAGCCAGGGACTGCTTTCCCAAAATCATACTAGAAATTTAACTCCTTCTCAAATTAGGTTGCCATTGACTAGCAATTCCAAATGCAGAGAAGAACGGGGAGGGGATAAGGAAGTGGGCTGGAGGCTGGTACAGGATCTCAAACCCTGCTTCTTTAAGAAATCCAGCTAAAAATCAAATACCGAAACATACTCAAATAGGGACGAGAGCCCAGAGGTGCACATCTGCACAAGCGTTTGCTTCAGCTCCCCACACGTGTCATTTGCACATGCAAAGATCCATTTGAATGAGAAGGCAGGGAATTTTTGCATGTACTGACCTACTCTGGTGTGGCACTGGGGAGATCTGTCAGGAAAACACGGGCATACAGCCTTTAGAGGATCCATTTCTGAGATCCAGGGATTGTATTAGTCATATCTCGCCACCTGAAGACTAGACAGTCAACACATCTCTACCTTCAACCTCTGCAGTTGGTTTTCAGCTGCTTCCTGCCCCATTTCCTTGCTCCACAAGAGGAAGAGCAACTTAATTTCATGCCACCAGGCTCAGATCCATCCCACCAATATATCTTCACCCTAATTTAGTCTTGAAGGCACATCCAAAGAGGAACATAGCCTGCCTGAGACTTGGTTCACCTCTGCCTATGGAAGGAGCCCAAGGCGACCAGACACCTGTCTCAAGTGTGTCTTAAGTGCATGAATCAAGATGGGATGGATTTATGTCTTAATGCATGACTGCTTGAGGATTATCTCTAAGGAGACAAATGCTGTAATGTGTTTGTGGAATGCTCCATCCCCATGTGAGTCATCTCCTGGCTGCCAGGTCCCTCCGGAGCCGTGCGGTGAGCACGTTTGGCTGGCTGGGCCTGCTCTCCGTCAGTCAGGAGTCTTGTTAGTTCAAGATGCAAGATTATGTCAGCACCCGGCAATGTGTGAAGCTGCCTCGGCAGGCTGGGACAGACTGGGATTGGGCTGAGATGCCATGAGGATGAAGGAAGGGTGGCAGGTTGTAATTAAGCTCAGCACATCGTCGCTGGCAGCGTGGCTAACATTCCAGCTAAAGAGCAGAGAAACCAGACAGGTAAATCTCGTTAGCCACGCTACCTGGCCTCATAAAAGCAGGAGAGGGCAAGTTTACCACCATGGGGTACTCAAGAGGAACCTAGGAAGTGCCTAACTGTAGAGCCTGTGACTGTCAGATCCCTTCCCTGCCCTCACTATCCCCTCTGTCGAGGAAGCAGCAGCTCCAGGGAGATGTTTTGATATTGCAAATTTGATATTTGATAAGTTCCTGAGCATGACTTACCCCCTTGCCCTGCAATGCGATCGCCTGTGCTGCGTTCCCCAGACCTTCTCTTTCTGCTCCTGGGAACAGCTCCTCTTTCTCCTAAAGGTTTGTGCAACAGCAAGGAAGGCTCTCAAGAGTAACCGGAGTGATGAGGCACCAGACCACCAAACAACAGAATATGGCTGTCACTCCCAAATTTATCACAGAATCATAGAATCACAGAATGGTTTGGGTTGGAAGGGACCTCAAAATCATCTAGTTCCAACCCCCCTGCCATGGGCAGGGACACCCTCCACTACACCAGGTTGCCCAAAGCCCCATCCAACCTGGCCTGGAACACTGCCAGGGATGGGGCAGCCACAGCTTCTCTGGGTAACCTGTGCCAGTGCCTCACCACCCTTGGAAGGAAGAATTTCTTCCTTAGATCCCATTGAAATCTCCCCTCTTTCAGTTTAAAGCCATTACCCTGTGTCCTGTCACTACATGCCCTTGTAAAAATTCCCTCTCCAGATTTCCTGTAGGCCCCCATTAAGTACTAGAAGGCTGCAATAAGATCACCCCGGAGCCTTCTCTTCTCCAGGCTGAACAGCCCCAACTCTCTCCATCTGTCTCCATAGCAGAGGTGCTCCAACCCTCGGATCATCTTCGTAGTCTCCTCTGGACTCGCTCCAGCAGCTCCATGTCCTTCTTGTGTTGGGGACTCCAGAGCTGAATGCAGTATTCCAGGTGGGGTCTCACGAGAGCAGAGTAGAGGGACCCCACCTGGAATCATCGCCACTCTATTAGGAGACGTCATTTTACCTCATTCCCAAAGGTCTCAGCCTTCCCCATATCAGTTTGGTGACATCAGTAAGTAGCACTGAAAAGTTTAATTTACAGCCTGGAAACACGATGTGCACATTAGGGTAAGAGGAGCCTGAGGTACCACAGAAGAGGAAGGAAGCCACGACCTCCCTGAGAGCACAACCTGCTGTGGTCTCAGCAGAAGAGCCAACACTCCCAAAGTGTGTCCAGCAGCACAATGGGAGATACCAGACACCCATCACATGGTGCTCCTGCATGGCAAGCGAACCGGCCACTACTGGTCACATACCAGGCAAAGAAGAGACCCTGTGGCTCCCTGGTCAGATATCTGCTCTTAGCAGCAGCAGGGCTAGCCACACGCTCATCCCCAGCGCCAACAGGGCTGGTGCGTTCCCTAAGCTACCTTCTTGTGTCTGCTGCTGGCCATCAAGAAATGCATTTGCCCCTGGACTAAGTCTTTACTATCCTGATCCTGCCTTATCAAACCTGTTTTTAAAGACCTGCGGGGTTGGTTCCTCTGCTGGATATTTAGCCATTAGGACTCCACCCTATCCCATCCGGGTTTCGTTACCTTCTGCTCTGTGGGCACTGTTTTCCCTGAATTGTGTTGCCAAGTCCTGTGTTACTTCACAAATTGCACTATGTTCAGGGTAAGTTATGACACCAGCCCGGTATTCTCCAAATTTACACAAGCCAAAGCTTTCTCGCTTTAGAAGACTCTCGGACTCCAGAAATTAAATGCTGAGGATACCTGAAAGAAACAGGAGAGGAAGGCTTAGGGTGAAAATTTAGGAGTCTGTGGGCATGAGACTGGGTTTCACAGAGCATAACTCACCACACCCCACTTCTCCATACCTGCTCTCTCCTTCTGTGGCAAATGTGAGGTAACCTGAGGTTGCTTAGCCCTCAAATTAAATTAGAATTAAAGTTACCTCCTCTTTACTCTGAGGCTCTTCAGACTTGAAGTGCACATGGTGTTACTACAGAGCAGCTGGCATGTGGCAGCTTGTTATTCTCTCACTTGTCCAAGATGCCCATACCTAAGAGATATCTCTCCTTGCTCAAGGAAGTGGGACGTCATGGAAAAAGCAGAAAGCTTCCATACCAGTGCTTTTGGGGGCCAGCAAGACAACCTTAGCATCCCAGAGGTTTTCGCCATGTGCAATTTCTTACTGTTTTTTTTTTCCACTCTCTTTAGATATGAGGATGAAATTCGTCTCTGTAGTGGCATGGAATACACCTTCACGGAGCTCAAAAAGGTCAGTGGCAAGAGAAGCTTTTCACCTGGATGGGCTCTATACCAGCTCTGCTCAGCCACAGAAGAGCTTGAAGAGGCAGCATGGTCCAGCCAAGACAGTCCAGAGCTAGTCAAGAGCAGGAGAGTCCTTGTACCACAGACATTTTCTGGGGTAATAAGGTCTTGAGGAGGACAGTAGAGTGGTGAACACGGTCACAATTCCAATAGGAAAAGCATAAGTGAGCCTGGGCCACTTGTGGTTACAGCAAAGCCCCACGGCTCTTGGCAGAAGCGCCTGGGGGTCAGACCAAGCCTGGGTCCAGCCACGCGGCAATCGCGCTGGCCAGACCTGGCCTGGAGGGTCTGCACCCCAGCACCCTCCGAGGCAACTCCTCTCCTCTCTGGCATGTTTTGTCTCAGAAAGACATCACAGGTTGGGAAAGGCTGGAAACTGATAAATGTGTTTGCTTTTGTTTCCCGTGCATGGCCACACCTTGTTTAAACATCCCGCCCCAGAAATAGCTGCATTTGAGTATCAGCTGAAATAGGAGGCTTTGTGCACAGCCTTTACAGCAAAAAAAAAAACAAACCAAGGTG